AAATTCTTCGAGGGAAGGAAGAAAGCCAAAGAAATTCATCATCCATGCGCCTGTAATAGAATGAGGTTTCCTATGTTGTGAGGGAAAATTATAATTTCTTCAAATGTATTTGTCTAAATTAATTGAAAACGTTAATGCATTGATTACCTATTCTACTATATTATATATATCTTGCGTTCTGTTTAGTAATTTAATGGTTCATTTTTAACATTGGTAGCGGTACCTGTTCGCGNCTTGGACGAATCGACTTCATATTTATTTACACATTGTATAACTTCTCTGAGTGAGCCATTCTTATACATATTATATACAATTTTCAAAATATCACATGCATTTACCTTAAATCTAAGAAAATGTAAATGGGTACAGTAAATACACTTACATTGCCGCATTTGTTCTTATTTTCTAACACATACATGGTAATTTTTTAACGTTATACAAATGTATTTTAATAAAGTTAGGTTAGGTTAGTGAGTCAGATAATTCAGGGTGGAAGAAGCACTAGGGATACATAACAAAGAAACGCGTAGGGTCACGTCGTGTTTACCAGAAAAAAATGGAAATCAATAAACAATGGGGGAGATTGGTTATTAGGCATTAAAAGCTAGTTAGAGATATATATTAGAAGCAGAAATAGGAGTTAACAGGGGTAGAGGTAGACTTTAAAGACGTAGGTTGCGATTAAATTTAATAAACCTTTCCGATAAGGGAAAGTGGAAATCTTTTAACCGATTCCAGATATAGTTTTCGTAATAACACAACATTTTTTGTAGTTCTTGTGATTTTCGATTTGATTTATATAATTAGTGGCCTTTCGACCTCGAAAATAAAACTAGATTTGACTAGGTATACTAGTGTTTTCTTTTTTTTGAAAACAACTTAATATATCTTTTATATCATTTTACCTTTTTGATAAGGATCTGACAAAGCTGAAAGGCTTTTTGCATTCGTGCGTAGAAATATTGGTGTATGTATGAACAATTTAAGAAACCAGTTTCATCCTTTTATTAAAGTTTAAAGACCCTATGGGTGGGTTCAGTGTTTGGGCACGCAATCGAAAAATAAGAAGGTTGAAACAGGTTGGATGGATGGTAGTTGCAATTGCCTGACACGTACGGATTTGTTCTTGTGGCGGAATTACATAACTTGTAACGTGCTGGGAATCCTGCGGAAATGAATGATGGGGTGGGGCGTGTAGCTGTTTTCGTTTCAAGGAAACGAAAAGAAATATTTTAAATTAAATTTGTCACTGACGAATACCAAAACCTCGTCAACGATTTATTTGAAATTTTCTATTTTCTATGTGCAACGTCTGATTTTTCTAACTACATATTAGTTTCTATTTCTATTTGGACAGTTTTTTAGCCTGGTCCTAAAATTTGTTATTGTATTACATACTTCCTTCTATTCAAATATTACAATTCATTATAAAAAGGAGCTATCGTGGAATGTGAACGACAGAGTGAAAAAGCTAAGAGAATGAGCAGATGGACGATACCCATCAATAAACCAAAACTGACTTTATTCTTTATTATATAAACAAAATACTCGACCAAGTGTGTGTGAGGTGTATAGAAACTGCATGCATGTATGCCTACAGTACCCATAGAAAGTTTAGGAGCATTTATGGGGATTCACAGGTTGACTTATAACATTTAGGAAATCAAGTACTTTTTGAAGACTTCAGTAATTTGAAATGGTTCTACTTAAAATACAAATACAAAATGCAAAACTCCTATTTTCTGTTTTAAACGCCTCTCTGAAACAAAAATTTATATTTTTATTTGGGCAGTTTTAAACTTATTATCTGATATGTTCAAACTTAGTTGAGGTACCCTAATCTGGACGTATACTGCAATAACGCTTTGCCCTTTACTAATCGACCTTTATCGTTGATTTACAACGATTTAGTTTTTCCTTTTGGGGCTATCAATATTTTATCAATGGATATCAGTGAATATCAATGGATATCAACGGATATCAATATTGACGGAGAGACGTCATCATTGGGCTACTGCTATGCCATTATCTTAAAAATGTTATTGACATTAAATCATTCAAAAGTTATTCGTACAGTTGCTGTTTTGAAGGATATGGTTGCTCTTAATTTTTTTAAGGTACTGTAGTATAACAACTGCGTAACACGGGTCTCTAGAAGTGAATAAAAAGTTGAAGTGGCAGCTGCGTGGTCAAAACGTTGCTATGTTTTTCACGGTGGGGCCATAATACACCTGCCGCCATGTCTCAATTGACACTGGTACCTTTTTAGCTCCAGGCGTTTTCGCAGTGTCTCTTATTACGCATTTTGCTTTCCTCATCTGGACGGTTACGACGCGACGTATTTAAAACGCATTTGTAAGATAATAAAAGCCGAAAAGTTCTTCGTCTATCAACAAGACGAAGAACGTGACAGCAGGAGTTGACGATTACTGTTACATTTGATGACACTCTGTAGTTTTGGTAATTAATTCAATACACTTTCAATTAACATTATTTCGATTAACAACTTTATACTGAATTAGAGAGTATTAAATAAAATGGAAACGGTACTGACAGATCAGTACTGTATGAAAACAAATAAAAATAAAACTAAAATACTGGTATGCAAGGGAAGGAAAAGTAGTGAAAGTGCGAATATAAAGATAGGAGACGAAAAATTAGAAGTAATGGCTGATTTTAGATATCTAGGAAGTCAAATAAGTCAAGACGGAAGGAATAGTAGGGATATAAAGCAGAGAATAGCGCAGAGTCGAGTCGCCTTCAATAAAAAGAAGTCACTTCTATGCTCGCGAACCGTTAATTTAGAAATTCGAAAAAGGTTGTTAAAGGTGTATGTTTGGAGCATGGCGTTGTACGTGTGCGAAACATGGACAGTGGTCGCGGCGGAAAAGAAAAGGTTAGAAGCTTTCGAAATGTGGTGTTGTATGCGAATGATGAAGATAACGTGGGTAGAAAAGGTTAGAAAGAATAGGAGAACAGAGGACTCTATGGAAATCAATAAAAAATAGGCGAGATAGGTTGGTAGGACACCTTCTCAGACATGAAGGTCTAGTCAGAGATATATTAGAGGCAGAAACAGGAGTTAGGAGGGGTAGAGGTAGACCTAGATTAGATTACTGTTCGCAAATAGTTGAGGGTGTGGGATGTTCTATTTTTCGGGAAATGCGAAGGTTGGCTCAGGATAGGAGGGTGTGGAGGTACGTGTCCAACCAGTCTTGGTACTGACGACCTTATGATGATGATGACTGATATTTTCATTCTAAATTTTATTTCGATGGCTACTTATTTATCAATATTTCTCTATGGTTTTCTATCTACTTTATTGCTTTTTGTTAATGAAATAATTTCCAAAAAATGGTCCTGACGGTCCTCTTCTCAAAATTTTCATTCTAGCTTTAAGGGAATTCTATTTTAAGTTGTTTGTCCATCAACCTATGTTTATTTAAAATCTACATACGTCCATTAAAACAAAATTTTTATTATTCGTGTTATTCCTGCCCAGAAATATCTAAACCTCTATCAGTATAAACAGTTTTTTGATGCCTTCAACCTCTTATAAAGGAAAAGTACAATTACGTACAATATTGAGAAGTTTCGTCTAGGGTCTAGACCAATCTACAATATGCCATAGAATTCTGTTTGAAAAATATGTTATGTTATGCAACATACAAAGTTAGCTACGACTTATGTTCACCCTTTTTGACCACACTTCATATAAAGCGATGTAACTTACATAATTTTTTTAATGTGTTGTTGTCGTTATTTTTTGTATTAGTTTATCGATGACATAGACATCACAAATTCTATATCCAATCTACATAGAAAGTAAAACAGTTTAGAGTTGTCCAATTAGACACAATTACAGCAATGCAAGCACAAACAGGGAATTCCCACTAATAAGAAACTGTTCACACCGAGCGAACGTCAAGAAAGCAAAAACGGGAAGTTTTCACATAACCTCTATCTGTGGTGTCGACGGGTGTGATAAGTCTCTAATTAGGGAGATGTTTGTAGTTTACTCACTAATGCGTAGTTGTCTAGATACAACATTTAAATTTCATTTAGCTTTATTTCGCTTTCTAATTCAGAAAAATGACATTGTTAAAAATAAAACCGTAGGTACGTTAAATGTTAAAATCACATAGTACTAGGGCAGTTCAATAAGTACCCGTGTTTGAAGACAGGGACATTCCTGAGGGAAATTGGTGTTGTCATCGTGTGCTGCCATCTATCAAACCATGTCAAAACGAATTTCAGACTGATTGATAGGTTAGTTTGGATTTGGCAGCCATTCCACTCAGACGTGCTTCGTTATTTTCGCTAAGATGGAAAAATAGCAGTATCGTTCGGTAACTCGCTTTTTGTTTTTGGATGGGAAAAATGCGAGGAGATGAAAACAAAATTGGATACTGTTTGTGGAGACATTTCGTCATCTACGACCACAGTTAGATATTGCTTCAACGAATTTAAACGTGGGCAAAGATCCGTTTTTGATAGGAGCGACCAGGAAGCCTGGAAAACGTTGTTACCGAGGAAATCATTTTACGGATTTTTTAGGAAAAGGAAGAACGATCACTGGACAATACTACAGTGAGTTATTGGACCGCTTCGACAAAAAATTGAAGGAGACACGGACGCATTTGACGAAAAAGAAGGTGCGTTTTCAACACGATAACGCACCGGCACATTCATCAGGAGTTGTTGCCGCCAAAATGCATGAATTACGTTATGAATTTGCTGCCGCACACCCCGTACTCACTCGATTTGACTCCCTGCGACTTCATCTTGTTCCCTACCATGAAGAAATGACTAGCGAGAAAGAAATTTAGCTCAAACGAGGAAGTCATCGCCGAGACAGGGGGGATTTTGGAGAGTTCGACAAATCTTATTTTTTGGAGGGGTAAAAAAAATGGCAGGGTCGTTGGGAGAAGTGTATCTTTCTAAAAGGGGACTATGTTGAAAAATAAAAAAACAAATTTAAAAAAAAAGGTGTCTTCATGTCTAACACGGATACTTATTGAACCGCCCTCGTATGTTTTATCGCAGAAGCCTCGGCTGAATGAGCTACGTGACAGTAAAACAGAAACATCTAAGTGACTTTTGCATTTTACCCTATCACGATGACCCACTTATATTGTAACAAGTAAAACTTCTCTTAACCTGCTATCTATTGACTCTTTAGCCTAATTCCGCGATGTTCTTGGTTTGACATCCAATAACATTGTATGTTACGAAGTTCGTGTAAATTCTAAGCTACCTCAGTAACAGCAAGACAATTTTCTGTCGTATTATTGTTAACGACACTAATATTGCTGGAATTTCCCGTCGGCTCGTTCTGAATGATTTGACAGCTTTCCAAGCCGTTTATGTTGTTGTTTGGCAATTGACGATCTAACGTTGCCGTCGAAGTTTGCTCCAATTTACACTGCACTGGGTCGTCGTTTGTTTTGCTATTGCCCAGGCGCTTTTGTTCTTCATCAAATTGCTTCTCTGTCGCATCATTAGTCATTATCGAACTCGCTCGGTTCTGTTGGTCCGTTTGTGATGTGTTTAATTGGTTTGGAGTACGCTCCAAACTTGCACCAACATCTCGGGAATTCGACCTAGGAACAACAAATTAGTTCAAAGTTATTATACTGACACGTTGAAATTGCTATTTTGATTACGTGTTTAATTCCTTTGCTAAAACATTGGGTTTCTGGTTGGGATGTGGAATAGACAGATGTATTGTAAATCAAACTTCTGTTAGCTTTTGGAAAGTGAAGGGTTTGAGGGAGGTACATAGTTTATACTATTATAATGATCTGAAATATCACCAAGACGTTTGGTAGTAACATAACGCGAAATTTTATTAAAATGGTAGAAAATGGGCTCGGACGAAGAACTGGAGAAATAACTCAAATGTTATGATGCTTTACAAGCTTTCAACTTCTTCCCTCTAGCTTCTAGATAGGGTTGATTTCTTAGAAATGTTTCGCCGGTTGCTGTTGTCAGAATCTTCAGTTCACAGCAATGGTCCTCTGTAAAACCCAGAAGCCAGAAGGAAAAACTCAAATGTCCACAAAAGACTAACGTGTTGGTTTTCACCTTTCAAAACTTGGATGTTTCACTGGCCCACTATTATCACAAGACAATTCATCCAAAACTTCGAAGGAAGCCTTGATGACGCTGTTGCTTTTGTAAATTTCCGAAATAATCTTTGGCTTATGACAGTCTTTTTTGACGCTTCTCTGGGCTGGTTCATCCGCATCATCATCGATGTAACCATTATAAAAAGGATAGCCAAAGCTTCCCGAACAATATCCTTGCTGATTGCCATAAGTGTACGTCTGATTTGCCGAAGATATGCTCCGATCAGATTGACAGAGACCTGTCTGTAATTGACAACGAAGTGAGGACATTGTTTCAGTACCGTTGGTGGCTGGTGAAGGTGTTTCAACATAATATTCAGCCTCGTCATATTCGTCTAAGGTATCTTCGTCGCTGTATCTGAAAAAAAGGTTAGAGGAATTCGTATATTTCGGGGGGTATTTGTTTCATTGAGTTGTGACAGATTTTGCAGCCAAATGAGTCAAATTTATGGATAATAAATGATGAATGATATCTTTGGAATATAGATAAATAAAATTTGATATAAGTAATAGACGGAAGAAAAAAAAATAGGCATTATAAATTTACTTCGTACTTCTGCTGCGTTATTTTTAAACAACCAACGATTTGATCTTTATTTTGACAACATCAAATAAAAGTAAACGTAAGAGAATATGCATGGAATACGTAAAAAATAAAACAGAAACTCAAATAAATGATTTTTATTGATAAAATACGTTTTCGAGCAGTGATAAAAGAACATAAAACCACTAAAACGTGCATATGGGTACAAACGAAAAATACTAAAGTATTTACGACACAAAACATAAAAAAGCATCCTAACCTATATGTGAGTTTCTAAAAGAGAAGAAATTGGAAAGCACCTGTCAGGTGGATTATGAACTAACGCGCATTGGTCACTCGTTGACCCAGATGCTACGGCTTCAACGCATGAAAATGGACCTCCGGAACCTGGACTTCTCTTGCTCCCTTGCTGAACTTCGACAACGAAGACACCATCTCGAGCACTCGGAGAATACGTCATCTTTGTCTCTCTGCTGTCTTCTTGGATGTCCTTCAACAACATACAACTACCATGAGAAGTTTGGAAATTAAAACTAGTGATGGTGAAAAGTAGTAGGTACTTAATTGATTTGTGAATCTTTTAAAAACCATGAAACATAGGATAATCTTCAGAAGTTTTCTGATATTTCGTCCTAAGTTAGTCTACCACTTAAAGATAACATTATTATGACTTCAGTGATCTTATCTGTTCTGCTTTCTGATTTTTCTTTGGAGGTAATAAGGAACTTCGAACAGAAAAGAAAGAAATGAAACATTTGTCAAAAGCTTTAATTAATTTACCACGCTGTGGAATCATCATTATCATAAGGTCGTCAGTCCTAAGACTGGTTGGACACGCACATCCACACCCTCCTATCCTGAGCCAACCTTCGCATTTCCCTAAAACTAGAACAACCCATTTCCTTAACTATTTGTGAACAGTAATCTAATCTTGGTCTACCTCTACCCCTACTAACTCCTGTTTTTGCCTCTATATGTCTCTGACTAGACCTTCGTGTCTGAGAAGTGTCCTACTAACCCATCTCGCCTATTTCTTACTGACTTCCATAAAGTCGTCTGTTCTCTTACTCTTTCTAATACCTCTTCATTTCTAACCTTCTTTATCCACGGTATCCTCATCATTCGCCTCTAACACCACATTTAGAACGCTTCTAACCTTTTCTTTTCCGCAGCGACCACCGTCCATGTTTCGCACTCGTACAGCGCCGCGCTCCGAACATACACCGTTAGCAATCTTTTCCGAATTTCTAAATTAACCGTTCGCGAGCACAGAAGTGACTTCATTTTATTGAAGGCGACTCGACCCTGCGCTATTCTCTGCTTTATATCACGACTACTCCTTCCGTCCTGACCTATTAGGCCTCCTAGATACCTAAAATCAGCAATTTCTTCTTATTTTTCGTCTCCTATCTTTATATTAGCTCCTTCCCTACTGTTTCCCTTGCATACCATACTGTGGAATATTTGAATGTATTTGAAAAGAAAACTGGAGAAACAGAAAATTTACGGCCAATAAGAAATTATTGTCGTATACTTTGGCGCACTGCTGTATCTAATAAATATTTAAATTCAGCGTTTTATAAATCGCCTACGTTGATGTAACACGTGAAATATGGCGCTATTTTTAAAATTGCATCAAAAAGTGAAAAAATGTTTCGAAAAATATAGACGTACGTATGCGTTTTGTCATACGTGTATATAGCTTTGTGTGTGTGTGAACAGTGAATCGTTGATAAACATCAATTGCGCTATAATCGTAAAATCTGCAATATTCAAGTTGATAAATCGTCTTTGGGGCACTCAAAGAAAATTACTGCCAAATTTTTGGCACGCGGCCAGGATCTACTTTCTAAATATCGCACTAAAATTTATCAACGGCATCTAATTAGATGAGGCGCCTCGATTTTGATGCGGAAAATACGGCTGCAGTCATGTCATTAACTTTTAAAGCGCATTACTCGAATGCTGCATACAAATCGGATTATACAATTGACTTTGGCGTGATTTGTAAACTGCCTGACGTGCGATTGTTTTTACTTCTATGCTTCGTTTCAACCACTCGTACAGTTACGTCAGAGGAACAATGACGCGCTTATAGAGAACTGTAATAAAATTCGACTTGACGTTTCGCGTTTTCATCAATACAGCAATTTGCGTTAATAATTTTATATCGATAACTTACTAAGTTTCAAATACACAGGTATAATAAATATTAACAACTGTTTATTGTATTTTCTGCTATAAATTACAAGTATATCATCATGTTATAATAATAGAATAATCGACATTAAATCCTTAAATTATGAGGTGTTTTTTTGTTAATTAGGAGTCTAGAAGTTTTACGAATGAAGTAAATTTTAATATACATAGATCTTCTTGAAAATTGGGGTGGGTTATTCTGTATTCATTTCGGAATCCTCATTAGTTTAGGGTTTGGTCACAAATCGACCAATTCACTTTCAATTCATAACCTCAAATTTTGACTCTTTTGAATAAGTGTTACACTCGGAATAATTCGTAGGTACTTATTCTGGCGGTTTTGGGTCTACCCCCAAGTACAATTCCCGTACTAATCTATTTTTTCCTCTTATAATAATACATAAAACATATAAATTACATAAAGTTCGCGTATGAATATAACGGTTATAGTTTTGTGTCAAGTAATAACTAAGATAAAATTAGATTTTGTTAAAAATTTTATTCGTTTTTACTACATCAGATCTATCTTTTATTTGAACAAAAAGTGTTTAGTTGTCTCAATTTTAATTTCGCTCTATATACTATTTGAAGGTTATTTATTGGTCCGAATGGCGTCAAAAAGTAACAACATACAGCAGCTGTTAGTGCATAATGCTCGTATATATGTATGCATGTTAACATAAAACACCGGTAACATATGCATCCGTTGAATGTTTCAAAAAATTTTTAAGGATAATGCAACCGTAAATGTGCTCATTATGCGCTCGTTTAGCAACCTTTAAATTGCAATAAATTGCGAAAACAGATACCAAACATCTCTTTCGCATTTAATCATTGTAGCTACAGTGTCACAAAGTGTGCATATTATTTTATTACTGACGTACCCTTCGAATTAGAAATACCTATATTTTTAAGGTTATACTTACTTTAATAAATAGATACAGCAGATACTCGAAACAGAAATTGCATATTAATTAAAAAATTGATTTTTAAAATTAAGTTTTGCTACTTCAGATAACCTTAAATTAATGCTATTGTCACCTCTCATAGTTTAGTGGTAGAGCAATGGTTTGTAAAGCCAGAGACCCAGGTTCGATTCTCGGCGAGGATGTGACAGCTTATTGCTGCTTTTCCTTATTAATTTGAGGTTATCCAAAGTAGTAAAAGGTAATTCAATAATTAATTCACTTAATGTATTGAAAACTCTACAAAAATTCTCAGCATATTAATAATTATGCTAGACCACTATACATATAAGCTAAATTTTCAGTTGTAGAAGTGAATGAACGAATTCTCTATTCGTCTTTAAGATGAAAAATTTTCTGTTGTTGTTGCGCAGTTGCTGTAAATCCCCGATATATTCGGCAATTCTCTAGTGGTATTAACTGCAGGGATGTTTTATTCGTGTATTCGACTAGAATGTAGGTATATAGTTCGATCTGTGTTATCTACGTTCTATAAATCCTGAGCCATTGGGTATAGCTTCATTTCATTAGATAGACATAAAAAATGGATTATTAAACCAGTCGATAGAAAAGAATGAGAGAAATAGCTCTTACACACAAAATATAAGATCCTCTAAAATAAATAAGAATTTCTAATTTCTTTAGTAAAAAATATTTCATTACTGTTTTATTTATTTGTTGCTGACTTTCGATGAGTATTTTATTAAGTACATACAGTTGTTTGTTATCTACACGCTAAAATTGTATTTGTATTTTTGTATTTATTATCCAGATAATATATTTACAGAGTAAATATCTACAGAGGGGGTAAGCCCTGTTTGTAGACTGGAGATATGCTATTTTAAATAGCTATACAACTTATCAATAAAAATAATGTAATAGATGATATAAACTCATATAAAAAAAAACAAATCATCAATTACAAATTGAATATAATAGTGATTTACATGATTAACATAGTACCTCTTGTTACTATAGATTTCGACTTATTCATTCTCTCAGTTTATATTTACGCACAGCAATTGAGTTTGGTAGCACTTTTAGATTGTTTGGCAACATGTTGAATATTCTAATAGCATTGACGTAGCTTATTTTATTACTAATAGTCTTATATATTCTTGGAATTTCAATAGTTTTATATCTAGTTCTACTTATAGTCTTTATGTAATCTAGATAATGTGTCATAATGATATGTGATAGATTCAAAAGCAAAAGATTGTGTTAGGTTCAGAGGATATCTCTTAGTGGCGAAAGTTTGTTTGAATACAATTTTTGAAAGCTTGTTTTGTAAATTTTTGTATAAAATATGTGCTTTCTTCGATTTACATTATCCTGTGTCTGCTGCATTAAGTTTTGATACACACCTTCCTTGCATTTTCAATAAAAGTTAGTAAATACAATCTGGAAAAAGTCAGCTTGGTGACGTTTTCATCTGCACCTTCAATAGAAGATTCAATTTATTTCTGCTAATAAGCTTGTTGGAATGCAATTTATGTTGTGAAAACCTGAATTTTAATCAATTTCACGGTTGCTGCTGCTGCTGCTGTACTCATTTTCTACTTTCGAGTAATATCCCGAGGGAGCCGCTTTATTGGATTTCTTTCTAAAAATCAACGATTTTTCATCCATTCGCCTTTAATTAGAAATACGTAATAATGAAGGAAAAAATCAAATTAACCAATATAAATGACATTTACAAGCTAATGACGAGGATACTGTGGATGTAGAGATTAGAAACGAAGAAGTGCAGGGTGTCCAGGAAGTGTAGGGGGTGTTTATAAATTCAATAAAAAGAAACTACAAGTAACAAAAAAATATGTTTTTCGTTAATATTTAGACAAAGTTTTGGAAAATAAAGTGCCAAAGATCATGTTGTCCAAATGTTGATCCTTGTGCTGCTGGCACTTCTCCAACCAAAAAACGCCACGCGTCTACATATCTCTCTGGAAACGGCGGCCATTTCGGTGTGGATATTGTGGTTCAATTGCAGTAGAGATCGTGGTTTGTTTGCATAAACCTTCCCTTTAAGGTATCCCCATACAAAATAATCAGGAGGTGTGAGATCGGGGATTTTCGGTGGCTAGTTGATGGTGCCTCGACGAGAGATCACTTTTTCCGGGAAAAGTTGACTGACAACCGCAAGCGATTGGTTTGAGGTGTGACAAGTAGCCTCGTCTTGTTGAAACCATGTTTCCACATTAAAACCCGCAAAAACTCTTGCACTTGTGGAACCAAAAACTTTCTTAACTTATCACAATTTTGTCACAGTTTACCGTAAGCGCTCGCCTTCGCCAGTCTTCAAAAAAAATAAGGCCCAATAATGCCTTCACTAGACATGGCAGCTCACGCAATTACTTTTGGACTATTGTTCTGTTTGTTTACGTGACCATTTAAGTGAAAGTTCGCTTCATCAATAAACAGAATGTTATCAAACGTTGGAAAGCATTGAAGTATTTCATTTGCAAAATTCAGTCGGAGGGGATAGTTGGTAAGGTTCAGTTTTTGAACTAACTGAATTTTGTTGGCTGTAAGATTTAGATCTTGCTTCAGAATCTTCTGTAACGACGATTTTTATGTCAAGTTCTTGACTGCGTTTGCAAACTGATTGAGACGCATTTTCACGCACTGACACTCTTACGTCTTCAATCGTTTGTTGAGGCGCGGGCGACCGGGATTGTGAATTTTCACAGTCGAACCGGTATTCTCAAAAATTCGAATCCATTTTCTGATGATATCGTCTTTCGATGCATTCCGTAGATTAATTTTGGCCCATTAAAATCGTTGAGCTATGATTATCGGATCACCATTGCGATAATAGGCGCGTACGCAAAAAGCACGATGGTTTCCCGGGTACACTTCCATGGTTATTAAAATCTCCAAAAAGTAGTGAAGTAGCGCACCCCTTCGAACCACGCCGTTGCAAGGACAACGCAGAAACAAAATACTCTTTCTGGACACCTTGTATTAGAAAGAGCAGGAGAACAAAGGGCGTTAGGGAGATCAATAAGAAAAAGGCAAGATAGGTGGGTACTCGGTAGGATACCTTTTCAGACATGAAGAGCTAGTGAGAAACATATTGGAGGCAGAAACAGGAGTTAAGGATGTGGGACGCACTAATTTTAGGGAAGATGTAAAGATTAGCTCAAGACAGTAGAAAGTGAGATGTGCAGCCAGTCCTACGACTGATGACACTAAGATTATAATGAAATGACATTTGCAGAAATTTTAGCAAAATTCAATTAAACAAACATATTCCTGTTTGTTTGATACGTAAAGTTTAAGTAATAGTCTTTATGGTTGTTTCTAAAAGACCTTATTTCATCTCATAATATACAAGAGTTTCTAAGAAACTGTATAAAATTTATTGTACCAATTTTTCAATATAGACCTACGAGTCTCGTTCATAGTAATAACTGGTCGTGTAGGCGCCCTAGGTGAAGCGCGAATGCGACGTCTTAGGAATAAAATGAAAAACTGTATTGCTATATTTCACGTTAGACAGGAAAATTTTAAAGTTGGGCCAAGAAAAATGCAATATTAATAAATATGTACCTGACATTTACTATGGCCATTCAGTTCTAAGTACATACTTACAGAAAAGTTTCAATTAATGTTCACTTGTCTCAAACAACAACTCATAAACATTCCTGATGTTATTGTATTGTTATTTGATTCTTGAGAATTATTTGTAGTGCTTGTGATATCTACATTTATTACAGTGTATCCAGACATTGTTTTACAAGTGCCTCTACATCGTTTTATGACGTTTTATAGACAAATTTTATTATTTTACTAATTACTTTGGGAAGGTATTTGCAGAATCTTGTTAAAACTTTCCAGAGAAGATAGATAGGTAATTTTGTTTGTGATATTACAATTTGAGTAATGTGGAACAACATAGTATATTTATTTATTTTAAGCTTTAATGTAACCTGTAGTATTGCACCTGGCAAATCTAACGTCTAGTTAGACTAGGGAAGCTAGCACAATGTCATGGGGATTACAGGGTTATTTAAATTATTAGTTATAAAGGAATGAACTGTAAAAATAATTTGCAATCAGCACAACCTAAACTAACTAACTTAACCTTAAAAGTAAAAAGATACAAACGTATGTAAATTCAGAAAAAATTCTAATGCATTTAATCCATGCATAAAAACTGCACATCTGTGATAGGTCGGGACTTGTTAAAGCTGGAGCAAACTAGACGCTTCTTACAGAACCACTCAATAATTGGTAGGTTAGGTTAGGTTAGTAGGTTGTTGGGGTGAGGTCAGGACTATTGTTTTGGCCGATATTATGGTCCTATGACATTGTTAGTTGCTTAATAGTGGATTAATATACAATATTAATTTGAAATCATTTTTTCTTTTTAATNTTAACCTTAAAAGTAAAAAGATACAAACGTATGTAAATTCAGAAAAAATTCTAATGCATTTAATCCATGCATAAAAACTGCACATCTGTGATAGGTCGGGACTTGTTAAAGCTGGAGCAAACTAGACGCTTCTTACAGAACCACTCAATAATTGGTAGGTTAGGTTAGGTTAGTAGGTTGTTGGGGTGAGGTCAGGACTATTGTTTTGGCCGATATTATGGTCCTATGACATTGTTAGTTACTTAATAGTGGATTAATATGCAATATCAATTTGAAATCATTTTACGATTTTTTATTTACCCACTACTGTGGTCGTAGTTTAGTGGTCGGAAGATTGGTGCGTAAAGCCAAAGCAAAAGCAACATTTTTTTTTAATTAATTTGAGGTAGTTTGTAGTGGGTAAATAAAAAATCGAAAAAATGATTTCAAATTAATATTGCGCTATTATGGTCATTCTTAAGAGTACAAATTGAATTAGTAATCCTATTTATACGTAGGTGCTCTTGATTAGTAATCCAATCCATACAGTTGACACTGCAAAGCTCACTAGATATGTTTGTATTCCGAAAAAGAATACTTATAACAGTGTTAAATGCATTCGAGAGAAAGAGCAGTTCGTTTAAACACGTTACGAACTACGTGCAACTTTCCTAACTTCACAAATAATTGAGCATTTGTTAGCTTGCTATTCATTACTGCCTTCTGGAGCTACCATTTGGACGAACTTTATTAAAACTCTTACTTCTAATTAAGGACGCGGGTATCTTCGGGAACAATTTATAAGCAATTAGGGGATATTCAGAGAGAAGAACTTTCAAGTAGATATTGTAGAAAATTATTTTGATAACGTCTCAATTACATTGAAATTTTGCTTTAGGCTTTTTGGGTATGTACTTTAGATTTACTGACAAACACTTTTGCTATTTTACAAAGACATTCTGAGATTTCTTAGGCATTATCCTTTTATGGTTCCTTCTTGATTCTTCTTATATTACATTTGGCTGTTATATTTTTTAAAGATGAACACTGAACAGTTTTGAAATTAGTTTTGGAAAAGGAAAATGTTAAACTTACGTTTCGTTCTTCGGTTTCGACTATGAGATGGTTATTTTTAAGTGTCATAGTGATAATGCTTCCGTTCGTGTTCACGGGATGGTGGTTGGAACCCCTGAGGGATTGAGGGCCGTTAGTTATGGTGCTTATTGGAGCATTGCTACACGTTTCGACGTCTTCCGCTATCGATATTTGAGTTTCGCTGCATTTCATCTGAAACAGAAACAAAGCTAGGCCTGAATGCAAAAATTATTTATTCTTTAGGCTAGATTGCTAACAAATTGTGTAATGATACTGACAAATGCACTTCGTTTTACTTTTTTGGTCAATAAATGTGGAAATTAAAGTGTATGGTTGATAGAGCAAGGCTCTGTATGGGTGGAAAACATGGACATACGGGATGTGGTGTTACAGGAGGATGTTAAAAATGCCGTGGATAGAAGAGGTTATAAATGATAGAAAGAGTAAGAAAACGGAGGGCGCCTCGGAGATCAATAACAAACATTGAGAGTTGGTAGGATTCCTTTTCAGACACGAAGGGCTAGTTAGACACATATTAGAAGTAGATACAGGAACTAAGAAGGTAGAGGTAGGCCTAGATTTCTAGTTTCCTAAACTTCTAGTTTTCGAGAAGATTGACTCAAGATAGGAAATAGTGGAGGTTCATGTCCAACTATTCTTTGAGCAGAAGACCTTATGATGATGATGAACTAGATTACTTTTAAAAAAAGCTTTTAATTCCCATCAACTATTAATTCTGGTAGACGAGACGTGCCTCTGGACTACCCTGGAGGGTAGGGCGGATAGCCCTCTTCAGCTTCCATTAAGCAAATGCAGTGACTGGGTTGAGAAAGATGAGACGAACGAAATGAAGGCAGAAGAGAGTAAAATATTATCTGTGGAATATTAATGCCCCAGCATTTGCTTAAGTGATCCAAGGAAACCACAGAAAAATTTAGCTGGTAATGAGCAAAGCAAGATCAAAACCAAGACTTACCAGTTTTGGTAATAGTCTTGATATTGTTCAAATACCTCTAGCCTTGGTTTTGCTGATATAGTCTCGTTCTCGGTCCTGGTCTTACTGATATAGTCTCGGTCTTAGTCTTGGTCTTGCGTGTTAAGTCCTGGTTTTGCTCATTTAATCTGATACTTACGTTTTTTTAAATAATTCTTTTAAGCGCAAATTTTTATTTCTACCTTGACATGACTTTTAAAGCAAATAGAATCGATAGTTGTAAGAGTTATGAAAACTCGAGAAGTTGCCCTTCATCCAATGCATAAATTGACCCTTCCTAATCGAAAAGAAATTGTTTGTCTCTACAATTAAAACATTTGCTTTCGAAGGAAATTCTTGCAGTTCCCTTTTTCAAACACTAGTAAAGTTTCTTTTTTTATATTTTGTCTTGGTTTTGCATATTCGATCTTGGTTTTAATCTTGGTCTTGTTCGGTAGGTCTTGGTTGTAGTCTTGGTCTTGTTCGTTTGGTTTTGGTGTTAGTATTGGTCTTATTCGTTCGGTCTTGGTTCTAGGCTTGGTCTTGTTCGTTTGTTTTTGGTATTACTCTTGGTCTTGTTCGTTTGGTCTTGGTTTTAGTCTTGGTCTTGTTCGTTTGGTCTTGGTTTTAGTCTTGGTCTTGTTCGTTTGGTCTTGGTATTAGCCTTGGTCTTGTTCGTTCAGTCTTGGTTTTAATTTTGACCTCATTCGTTCGGTTTTGGTCTTAATGTTGCAGTATAAAGACAGTCTTTCGCTTTTTTTCGCCCATCACTAAATTTAGTTGACGGATCCGAATTCGAACCGAAATTCTTCCAAATAGCAATGGTTTACACCCCTAGATTATGCCGCTTGCTTTAACCTAAAGGCAGACTTTTATTAAAACAAATAAGCGATCGCAGCGTTTCACTCATTCCAAATTTCTGGTGCGTTGAGTGCTTCTAGATATCGCTCCACCTAAGTAACACTCACATTTCTACTCAGTCAGTAAAGTGTACGTTTATTTCAATTAATTAATAGACCGGGATTTAATACACAGTGGATATATAAATATGTGTGGGTGTGAATTGTGTGGTCAATAATGAAGGTCGCCTCGTCAACTTCGTATACATAGGCATAATGAGTAGGTTTCACGAAACCGATGGCGATGGGCGAATGCGGTTATTGACTGTTGCTGCGACTGGCTGCATACAATGCGCCGCTGTTTTTGAGTGCAATTTTCTAATCGAAATTGCCGTCAGTCGGGCAATGTCCTGACAAAAACCGAACGTCGAATTGTTTGTTGCCTCTTCAATTAGTTACAGCAAATTCCTGAGTCATCGGCCAAAACAGTCATCTGCTACTAACTTACAACTACATTTTATACATCACTCTACTACTATACACGTCCACGGTGTGCATAGTGGTGCATCCGCGGTCTGGCCTCGCGGCCCCGGTCGCATTTTGCTTTGTGTCTAGAGTTCAAGAACATTTGCGGCTAGACAAACATTGGGCTAATGCTCTCTAAACCTACTGACTTAATAATAATGCGCCAACTACGATGCTTGTTGTCCTGTTTGCATACCGTCTGTCACACTGCACTGTAGCTTGCCATTCACTGATAAATTAGTATTTAGATTTTACATTAATAAATCAGGTCTTAATGGAAATAAATAATTAAACAGACGTTAACCGCATATTTATTTGATTCAGTAATTTGGGGCAGATCGAATAAAGTACCTGTTTAGTGCTATTAATTATATCAGTGTTTTTACAATTTTGCTAATTAAAAGTTAGATCTGGTGTAATTGTTTAATTTCATTACATTTCAAATTTCTTTGTTGCTTTGTTCAGTTTAACTTTATAACATTTCTTAAACTGTTTATACCCTAAAATTCCTTTATTCTATTGTTTGGCTCTATGATATTTTGTGAATATTCTCATTGTTACACAGACAAAATATACGTGACGAATTCAAATAATTCCTGGTACTATAAATGAGGTTTTTCTGATTGTTCTGGCTCGTTGTTAGCTCTTTCTTATTTATTTTCAGAAATTTTCTATATTTGGTTGCACTCGACACCCTCTTGTCGACCAAGAGGCAGGGTCTAGAGGTTTAGTCCATTGTTTAGTATTCGGGAGGACGCCGGTTCGATTCCGGGTCCGTCTGCCTTGGTCCAAGTTTTTCTGTGGTTTCCTTGGATCACTTAGGCAAATGCTGGGCCAGTAATATTCCACAGATAATCTTTCATTCTCTTCTGTCTTCATTTCGTCCGTCTCATCTTTCTCACCCGAACCACCACCCACCCATTCCCACGATTCCTGAAAGCAGGCTGAAGAGGGCCTTCCGCCCTACCTTCCGGC